CACTAGCCTAGTTCATTAGCCTGTCATGATCACCTTCTTTTCCAACCTTCCTTTTCTAGCCTCCTAGATAAAAGAATCCACCAAAGAACAATGGAAAGTTTAAAAAATAAAAGGAAACAAAAAAAAGAAGGGGAAACTAAACTAAATAAATACAAAATATAAACAAAATATAAAAAAAAGAGAAAAGAAGAAGAAGGTTGCAAAAAAGGCAACTATGACAGCACTATTTTTGTTTACGCAAGGCTACATAAATTATATAGGTTGTATAAGAAAAAATCCTACTTTAATACTATATATAATAAGAAGAATGGAAAAGAAAAAAAATCGCCTAACATCTAGAAATTTCTACACGTAATCCTCTGATCCCTTATAGACTATCATTGCCTAATCGAGAAGCAGTACCCTGAGTCAGCTCGTAGCAGATTTTATTTTGATAGATGTGATCTAATTTGGAAGCAGTAAACACTGCCAATCTTTTGAAGGGGGTACACTGGTTTTCCCACTTTTTGGCCAAAATTTCTAAAAAATTTCAAAGTAGCGAGAATATGGTAAAAGGTTTTCGGTTGCAAGTACTTTCAAAATTTTTAGGGAGTGTGTTGAAATCCAAAACTTTTGTTGTTTCTCCTGTGTTTTTCTTTAAAGTAACAGCCTTAGAGCTTTGTCGACGAAGTTGGGTTTTCCTACACTCTACCAAGATTTTTCATACAAGGGCACTGTCTGCCAGTTATCTTGTATAATAATGCTCTTGGCTTGCATGCCAAATGTTCTTTTAGAGGAGTCCCTTAGAAAAGCAGTTGACCTCTAGACAAACCGCATCATAAGGCCATGTCTTTTCAACAAAAGTTGTGTTTTTTGTTAGTTGAAATTTTGGTACAAGTAATCGACAGGGAGAGTTTTTTAATTTTGACAATAAGTATATTATTTTACAAAAAATATTTTAATTCAGTTTTGTAATACATTACACATAGTATTTCTATAAATCAAGTTCAGGTTCAGGTTTAGTTTAGTTATATTCAATATTGAACTTTTAGATTTATATTTAGTTTAGATTCAGTATTGAACTTTTAAGTCAAGTTCATTATCTGAAGGACACTACAAATTCTAAATTTGATTGGCTAAATTAGGTATAACATGAAAGAGAAACAATCAAAAAAATAGGTAATCAATGTTTATTGGCTAGATATAGTGTAATATAAAAAAACTCATTTTTTTTTATATTTAGTTCTTTAGACTTCAAATAGTTTTTATTTTTTTAGTGTTTAGTTCAGATCTAGTTTAAAGTTTATAAACATGTTTAGGTTCAGTAATATTCAAGGTTTATAAACATATTCAAGTTCAATAACAAAATATAATAAAATTTTTGAATAGATTTCTTTTTTAAATAAAATTTTTTCAATTTTAAATAAAGGTTGTAGAGGAGCATCTTGCAATCAAAATGGTAGTTAAAATGTTAAAATCAGCTTAGTAAATTACAAGATATAAATACTTTTGTTTTTGTAATTATATGTTTTCTTTTTTATATAAATAAAGAAGAAAGTATATAGTTATAAAGACTAAAATACTTATATTTTATAATCTACTGTGCCAATTTTTTCATTTTAACTGCTATTTTGATTGCATGATACTCTTTTACAACTTTATTAAGAAGCTAAAAAGAGACATACTAAGCAAAAATTTAAAGATTACAATATTTTTTTACAATTTTATTAATAAAATTATAGAAAATATTAAAATTCACAAAATTATACTAATTAAACTTACCTTTATACTCTAAGTAATCTTGTTCTACATATAATTATATTATATTAGTATAGTGAAAAAAGTATCGAATTACTTTGCCACTTCTTGCTAAACAGGCATAAATTTTTTTTAAAATACTAATAATTTCAGTTCTTATAGAAAGACTTTTTTCTAATACAGAAAATGGTTTAACTAATAAATATAATTGTTTAAGTACTAATATAGTTTACAATTTACTATTTTTAAAAGAAAACTCATTAGTAATAAATGTTTATTGCCTGAAGGACACTACTGGGTAGGTTAATAGTATACCTGATATCTAGAGATACACCAGTCCTAAAAAAGACCGGTCCAGAGCTAGTCTTTTCAATGGTTCTACAGTCTTATTGGTCCTGGTTTGGACTAGTTCTGGATCGGTCTTTGTAAAAAAATATGATATTCATATCACCCAATTAAATTGCTTAATCAGATGTAATACAGATCATATAATGTTTGTTTACATTCAACAATAAGTAATTATATTATTTGTAACCAATAAGATTTAGTCATTAAGGATCATTTTGGGATTGCGAATGGACTGAGACCAGAACCAAAAACACTATAATAATGGTTTTACTAGAACCAGGATGAACCAAACCAGACTAGTGCATCTCTACTGATGTTTGTGTGTTAACAAATTCTGAAACCTAATTGGCTAGATCAAGTATAATATAAAAGATTTAAAAAAACAACTAAAACTAATATTTATTAGCTAAATCAGATATAATATAAAAAACAAACTAAACATAGTCAAATTTATCATCTGATACTTATTGGTTAAATTAGCTATAATATATATAAAAAAAAAAAGTCGATTTTTATTAAATTTAAAGGTTTTATTGCAAAAACAAACAATTTTAAATACTGTATAAATTTATATATAATATAGTATAAATTAAATTTAAAATTTATATTTGGTTCTTCGGACTTTGAATAGTTTTCATTTATCTAATACTATAGAAAACAAAAAACTATATTTAAATTTTAGAATAGAATTCTATATATATATAATTTTCTTTTTAATATATTAAAATAAAATATATATTATTAATAGAAATGTGATCTGCTATTTATTTTTCTACTTAAAATTTTTTTTTAAAAAAAATAACTCTCTTAGCAAGATTTTATTAAATTTAAACATTATATATTATAACAAAGATATATGGAGATCGTTTTTGTTAAAACTCTTTCCGATAATCATCTGGACCAAAATTTCCCACCAAACAAAAACAAAAATTTTGTTGGAGAGGAGAAGACCTGCTTATAGGACAGTTTATATAAAGGTCAACTTGCTGCTAGAAGAGACTCCTTTACATATTTGGCATACAAACCAGAAGCATTAGAAAGCAAGATAACTAGCAGTTGGTACTCTTGGTTTCAAAATTCTGAAAAGAAGGTGCTTATAAGAAGTTGGGGCCTTTTTGTTGACGAAGTAATCCATAATACAAAAGAATAGAATAGAAGAAAAACAACAAATGAGTTTTTATAACAACACTCCTTAAAAATTTGAAAACATTTTTTTAAATAATATACAGTTAGCGTGGTTCGAAAGGAGCCTTAACATGAAACATGGGAAAAGAGATCTATTATAGGCATAGCACTTGTTATTTAGAGGTAGTTCTTATACACTACTTGCCAACAAGCTCAGAGTTTATCACTCACCGAAAAAACTTAGTGCTATGCAGGCTTGGGTAGACATTTCTTAGGTGTTTTCTCTTGGTTTTTTACCTCTCTTTTGCTTTTGTCACACTCTCAAAAAAAGTGGGTATTTGGGCTTACCCCCTTCAAAAGATCGACAATGTTTACACCTTTCTAATTCAGATATATTCAGTAGAATGCAACCATGTGTTTGTTTTGTTTATCAATATAGTGCTATGGTATGGGGAAGAGATCGATACCCCATTTAGAAGATACCTGAGTTTTGTCGGTGCCCGGAACAAGTTCTCTATAATAAGACAATATTTTACAATCAAGATATATTAATTAGTTGCAGCAGGAAAGCACTCTTTGCAAGATAAATCTGGGTAAGTAGTTTGTAAAACTGATGTTGCAAGAGATGAAGAGTGCTCTCTCAATATGATCGGCTAGTAATTTTGCTGACGGATTTTAAATTTTAGACAATCAGCACAACTCTGTAAAAAATGATGGTCTCTGACTATCTTTTTTTTCATCACGATAATGAACTCGCTTGACGCTAAACTATTTTTCACTAATTAAAAATTGAGTTCCGGCCTACTTATTAAAGTGCCCTGGGTATTATAATTATATTCTTGCTAACTTTTATAGTAGTAACGTTCTTTACATTAAAGGTACTTATTACATTTCGGATTTGGTATTATCTAAAGGGTATATGAAAATGGAGTAAAAGATGCTATGGTTATGCCTTATGTTGCTTATAGTAGTTTTATTGAGAAAACAATGGCTTACTAAAGGTGTTCTCAAGCAACCTCCCCAATGTGATCTGATAATGATTGAGATGATGCTCAATTATTACAATCATTGTTTGAACTAGTGACTCGGTTAACCGACTCGAACCGAATAAATTTCGGGTAACCGGTTGAGGAAATTCTTAATCGGTTGACCCAGTACAACCGGTTAGCAGATCAATATAGTATGAGAAAATGTCAAAATGACGTAGGAAGAGTAAAGGATCCGAAAAGTTCCGATCCGACAAGAAAATAAATGAACATAAAAGACGAGCAAGATCGAGACAAAAATTAGAGCAAAGCTTCGAGAATTTACGAAGATAGTATAGATATTAATCTTATCCGGTTGGTAATTGGTTGAATGAAATAATTCAGTTCGGTTAACCGATTAAGAAAATTTTTCTCGGTTCAAATCACTGGTTTGAACAAATCATCCTTGCTTTATTCTATTATCCCTATGTTTTCAGCAATTCATAAAAAAAGGCGACTATCCAACAAATAATGCAACTTCGGCAACTCCAAGTGCCCAATTTTCCTTTTACAGACTTTACGAATATTCATATACTGTTTACAGCAACAATATTCACAACTCTTTGCTCCTTTAATTTCGAACAAAACCAACGCAGAAAATAATGAAGCATTTTAATATTAAAAAATAAAATAAATAAATAAATATAATTATTTTTGATGTAAAAGTTAGGAAATAACAATTGTTAACAAGTTTTGCTCTTGGGTTTTCTGGAATTTTTATTAACGTAAGTTTCGAATATAAAAAGGTAAATATAAATCAATGATTCATTCACGTTTAGGTTTTTTCGATAAAGGTGAATGAAAAGCCTCTTCCAATTCGCGTTTGAGTGAAGGGCGAGGTGTGAGATTTGAATCCTTGATATTATTATTATTATCGCTATTGTCTCGACGTGAAAATATGGTGCACGGAGAAATCACTGAAGATGAAGGTTTTGAAAATCGTGAAATATATTCAGTGTATCCTGGATCTGATATGACATAATCCGGTGGTATAATTCCGAAGTTAGTGTATTTTAGCCAATGAGTACTGTAATCTTTCTGATCCCAACATTGCCAAATAGATTCATCATAATCAGCCTCTTTCTTATCAGGATATGATGGTTCAGTCAAGTCTATAACCGATATATCATTATCATAGTCATCATACGGCCAATTAAAGAGGTCATCATCTTGCAATTTTGGGATGGAACCGTCAATATCTATTATATCCTGTGATATCCCAGTATTATTGTCATACAGTTTTTGATTGATATCTTTTACATCCCGTGATATCTCAGTATTATCATCTTGCAGTTTTGGAATTGATTTGTCAACATCTATTACATTCTGTGACGCCCCAGTATTATCATCAAGCGGGAGATTATTTGATTCGTCGGCTTGTTCAAACCAGGAAAGAATGTCGGGAACTGCGGCACCAAAAGAAGTTCCTTCATCCATTGTGACTTTACCGAAATCATTGTCTAACATTTTACCAACGACTCGAAGTTTTGAACGCACTATTTGCCATTGAATGGTATCTGTATATGTGCAAAAATAATATATTTATTTTAATGTTCGATTAAGAGACTGATAGCTCGTGGAAAATCATAATTATTGTTTTAACCTGAGGTGTCCTTAACAAGCATGTACTTGATATCAACGCTACCACGACGTCCAATTCTCTATACGATTTATATGAACATTAATTTTCTAACATATTTTCGAGTTTACTTATTATAGTAGGTTAAAATGACTGAAAAGATCACCAACATGTGCGCGATCTTCGGCCTATGCGAAATAATAGTGTAATGAATATGAGAATTATTATGTATGAGAAATTAAAAGAATATTTGTAATTATACACTACTTGTAATAAAGTGGACGGATTCCAAAATAATTCTGCAAATATGACTAAAAAAAGTTAAGAAATAATTGAGGAAACGAATTGAGGAAATGAATTTTAAACGCATTAACGTATAATAGACATATACCCAAATCGGCTGCATGAAGTGTTAAACCAGTACTAGCTGCCGTAAGAGAAAGAACAGCTATCCGTGTTTTTTTGTCTTCTTGAAATTGATCACATAAAGCCTGACGATGTTGCGGATTAGTGTTGCCATCGATACGAATATATTTAGCCTAAAAAACAACAGCTACGGTAAGTCAAGGCGTTGTGGTGCAATATTTGAAAACGAAAGGAAAAAAAGACACACATTAAGTTTGGTCGAAAAATAATCAGTGATTGCGTCAAGAACTTCCAAATGATGTCCAAACACAATAAATTTCTTTTCCGAATTTTCATGTATCTCAGATAAATACTCTTGAATTGCAGGAACTTTTGAACGACCAGTTTCGGCCCACTTAAAAAAAAACATATATATATATATAAATGCAATTGTTATAACGCACCAAATTGTTGTTAGATTTACTCATAATTTTAAAATTTTTTACCATTTGCACCAGCAATGCTTTTCCTTTCATTTCAGCATCCTTTTTCATTTGCCCGCTTGCACTTTTTGCAATCCCATAAAGTTCTTCAGACTCCTTTTTCATTTTTCGGATTTCTCTTTTAGCAGTAGCTGAAATATCTAATGTATATATTTATTTCTAAATTTAATATTTTTTAAATTATAAATAACAAAGATAACAATTAATAGCCACGTTTGATATTCACCAATGTGAACAATTTGACGCGTCTTAGGAGGTAATTCTAACTCAACATCAGCCTTCAGGCGTCGGATCAAAATGGTACGTTCCAAAAGCCAATGAAGCTCTTCCAAATTTGAGGCACCTATAATAAAAGAAAAGATAATGTACAATGATATTTAAATCGACAACTAGAATTTTTTAAAACTCTTGATATAAAAACTCACCAGAATAATCCCAACCGTATACACCTTTAGAAGCATTACAATACCTTATACCATATTGTGTAAATGTAGAAAAAGTTGTCTTGTCCAGAGCATTGGCTAATGAAAAAAGTTCAATAGGTTTTGATAATGCCTGAAATTCAAAATTTTGTAAGTAAATAATTACATTAAATGTCGTGATAAACGAGTAAATCGAATAATCTTACCGGCGTTCCCTACGTTACGTAAACAATATAAATCATCAATTAATGATAATAGTAATAACAATAATAATAAATTTGCATAATTCGACTAACCGTGAGTAAAAGAGCTCGCGTAGCATTTTGAATTAGAGGACATATGCTTTTAGACCTCTTTGTCTAAAAATGGATATTGATAATCAATACAAAACGAAATTAGAAATGTTCACAAACATCGTGCGTTTGTAACATACATCTTTATTTTTCAAATAATGCGCCTCATCCGTTATAATAATGTTAAATTTATCAGCAAAATCACCACCTATTTTTGCTGCACAATCGTAGCTGGTGATCAAAAATTTGGGAGTAGGGCGATTAATTTTATCTTTAAGATGAAATATAACTTGAATGTGACTTTCCCTAACTCCGAGCCATTTTTGAATTTCACTGCTCCATGTTAATCTTAAACTTGATGGACAAATAATCAGAACTGGCCATTCAGATTCGTAAAACTTGCAGATAGTAAGAGCCTGAATAGTTTTCCCGAGTCCCATCTCATCACCAAGCAAAATACGGCCATTCCTCATTATCGCTTGAGTCACACCTTCTTTCTGAAAATTCATCAATGTATCCCATAGCTCAGATGGGATTTTTTCATGAATCTCGCGCACAGCTTCATTTCGTTTAGCCTCAATCTCATCTATGCCACAAAATAATTTGACAACGTATGGTGGAAATTCGTTGATATTCATTTTTACATCCTTGACATTCCTTAATTTTTGCATACAATTCTGGTACTGTGATAGTGGCATCACCCAACCTCGTTCTGACACATTAAAAAGAGAATTTGGCACTTCTTTCCATAATGATACTAGTTTTTGATGATAACCACGTACAATGAATTTATTTTTGTCGAAAATACTAAAGTATATATCTACTTTATCCTGCTGAGGGACTAATTGTTTAATTTTCTGGGCATTATTTGGCTGAACAGTTTGCTTGCCCCAATTAGGAAGGATCCTTGAACTGCTTGTGGGAGTTTCGGCTGACGAATTATTGGAGATTGTACTAGTCGAAGAGAAATTTGTAGATTTTTGAGGCCTCGGGGCAGATGTTACGGATTGACTTGATGTTTTTGAAGAGGAAGAGGGACCGTCCCAAAGAAAAAAGCCACATTTTCTAAGAGGGCAAGAGTAAAACCAGCGCCCTTTATTAGGACCTTCTTTTTTTGTCTCGTAATGATTAGCATTTTTTCCACATTTACAGAGCATTTCTAAGTACGAGAAACTATTATTCTGGGATCAAATTTAACGCTACGTATCAGGTATATAACAAAAACTGAGTAACGCGTCATTTTATAAATCGACACTATCACGTGACGTGGCTGGCTACTTTATTTTGTACCAATACAGCTCTTTTAATGAAACGCGTATTATATTTTTGTTTAATTATTCGAACACTTATATATATTTACGATGATTTTCTGGGTGATTAAGATTAAATTCAAATTCTGTGATTTAATACAAAGTTATGTGCAGTTCTGTGATTGTAAATCTTCTAACTTTCCGACTACGTACTCTATGTTCATAGGAAGACATTCATATGATTGGTTAGTTTTTGTCGATCTACCCGTGATTGCCCGTGATAATTAACCAATCAAATTACATAAATTTTTTAAAATGTTTATCATTTTAATACTAGAAAACGAAGAAAACTTCGTTTAAAGAAGTTTACAAACCAATAAATTACATGCAAAGAACTTATCACATAAAGTTAGAAAACAGATAGATACGCGTA